AATCCGTAATCCGTTTATGTGATGCAAAATCCATAATCCATTTAATCTGATGTAAAATCCATAATCCATTTAATCTGATGTAAAATTTATAATCTATTTAATCTGATGTAAAATACATAATCCATTTAATCTGATGTAAAACCCATAACCCATTTAATCTGATGTAAAACCCATAATCCATTTAATCTGATGTGAAATCCATAATCCATTTAATCTGATGTAACATCTATAATCCATTTAATCTGATGTAAATTCCATAATCCATTTAATCTGATTAAAACCCATAATCCATTTATGTGATGTGAAATCCCTAATCCATTTCATTTTAGGTCCAGTGCAGGGCTGGGTCTGTGTGTTCTTTCAGTCCAAGCCCTGCTGGAATTGTTGGGGAACTTTCCTTACCTGCTTTGGCACAGGGCAAATCCCTCAGCTGCTCCTCTCCAAAGCCAGTGACAAAACAAACACAAATCTCCAAAGCACAAATCAGCAGCTGAGTGGCCTTGAGGGAGCTCCAAACCTGTCCCCGAGTGTCCCAGGGGATCCATCAGAGAGCTCAGCCCCAGCAGTTCCAGCACCTTTTGCTTCATTTGCAGCCCCAGCACAAAATTCCAAAGGCAAGGCAGCGATTCCATCCCAGCTGGTGCCAAGGACCAGGCAGTGCAAGGAGCAAAGCCCAGTTCAGGCTGGGCAGGGCAGGGCAGGGCAGGGGTGGCACTGGATGGGCCCCAACAACACAAACCAGGCTGTGATAAACAGGGAAAACTGGATTTTGGGAAGGTGTGAGCTGATTGATCCCAGCCATGGGATGGTGTTAATCTGTAATCTGCATTTTAACTTCCATTTCTGAGACCACACCACGGAATCCTGGAATGGTTTGGGTTGGGAAGGACCCAAATCCCATCCAGAGTCACCCCATCCATGGCAGGGACACCCCCAGGTGGATCCAACCTGGCCTTGGGCACTGCCAGGGATCCAGGGGCAGCCCCAGCAAATCTGGGAATTGCAGCCCAGGCAGGAATTCCTTCCCAAGATCCCAGCCCAATCTCCCCTTTCCCAGTGGGAGCCATTCCCTGGGTCCTGTCCCTCTGTCCCTTGTCCCCAGTCCCAGCTGTCCTGGAGCCCTCTGGGCTCTCTCTGGACCCTTCCCTGGCTGTGCCCAAACATCCAGCACAGCTCACAGCCACTCTGCTCTCCTCCCTTTCCTCTTTATCCATCCCAGCGAGTGCTCCGTGCTGAGCACAGAAACTGAAACCACGAACCCCCCCAGGGCAGGACAGAGCCACCCCAAAAACGGGATTGTCCCAGCAAAGGCCTAAAAGCTCCCAGAGCTGTCTCTGCTCAGCCCCTGCACAGACACAGCTCTAACACCTACCACAGCTCAGGGCTTTTATTGAGGTACAAAACATAACAAGTGCATTCTCTACATCGAAACGGGAATTTAAAAAAATAATAATAATAAAAAAAAATCCTCGTAAAAAACTATTGAAAATAAATATATAACGCTTCTATTCCAATCAGGGAGTTATAAATATATCATGAACCCAGTTTTTCCAGCCTCTGTTTCCTCTGGAAGTGCCTAACACCACTATAAAAACCCAGCTATTCACTGCAAACCCTGGCACTGCCCCCAGAGCACGGATTCCTACACAGGGCAGGATGAATGAGCACAAAAGGGACCCAAAAGCACCAAGTCAGGCTGCAGAATCATTTAGTGCCTCCTCCCTGTCCCAGCCTGGCATCCTCAGCTCCAGGACACCTTCTTGCCCAGCACACGGTTGGTGATTTTCTGAGAGAAAAAAAAAAAGAAAAAAAAAAAAAAAAAAGGGAAATAAATTAATTTTAGTGCTTGGAAAATGAAGAAATGCTGAGCACAGGGTCTCTGCACAGATTGATGTGGAACCCCAGAGGGGTTTGGGTCCCTCAAGCCCCTCCAGTGCCAGGGCAGGGTCACCTCCCACTGTCCCCAGTGGCACCAAGCCATGTCCAGCCTGGCACCAAGGGGCAATAAACACTAAAAAAAATGGGAATTTACACCTTTTTAGCACAATTCCAGCAGCTCAGAATCGATCTCTGAGAACACCAGGATATCCCTGTGGTGGCTGCAGTGGGAATGGTCAGGAACATTAGCCCATAAATCCATCCCATAAATAATCCTTGGAATTGGCTGAGACTGCTCCCTTAGGCACAAATTTCTGGGAGCCCCAGGAAAAGGAGCAGAGCTCCAGGCAAGAGGCACAGGGAGAGGGGAAGGGGCTTTCCACCAAAAATCATGGAATAAAACAGGACACAACGAGGGAGGGATGAGCCGAGGCTGGGGGGAAGAGAGGAAAAATGTGAACACAGGAAAAGAGGGAAATGTGAACACAGGAAAAGAGGGAAATGTGAACACAGGAAAAGAGGGAAATGTGAAAAGAGAAAAATGTGAACACAGAAACACAGGGAAATGTGAAAAGAGAAAAATCTAACATAGAACAGAGGGAAATGTGAACACAGAGCAGGGAAATGTGAACACAGAGCAGGGAAATGTGAACACAGAGCAGGGAAATGTGAACACAGGACAGGGAAATGTGAACACAGGACAGGGAAATGTGAACACAGGACAGGGAAATGTGAACACAGAACCTTCCCCAGAGCAGCCTGGCAGCTCCAGAGCTGCTCTCTCCCTTTGGGGCAGTGACACCTGCTGGTCCCTGCCTGCCTGGGGACATCCCCATCCCTGCAGAAAATAAAAAAAAATCCAAAAATCCTCAGGGCTGGGGCTGGGCTCAGTCTCAGGGACAGAGGGAAGTGTTGGCCATTGCCTGCTGCTCCCTTTTGGGAATTTTCTCCCAATTCACTGGAATCACAAACTCACTCCACCAGTGTAAAACCTCAGTAATGGAACAAATCTGGATCTGGTTAAAAAAAAATATAAAATCCAGTTCCACTTCACTGGGGTTGGAAGTTCTGATTGCTGCTGCCATCAGATCAGAGTGTGCAGAATTCCAGGGCACTGCCCATCCCCTGATGTCTCTGGGATGATTTTATGCTCTATTTGAAACTAAAAGTACAAAAGCAAAGGGCTGCTGGGACAGAACATCAGCCCAGATCCACGAGCACCCTGTGATAAAAATAACTTTGCAATTTTTTAATGAAGGGAATTATTCAACAATTTCAGATTGTCTGGGCACTCCAGCCCAGGGATTTGTATGGTTCCAGTCCTAGGTGGGCCCGTGTTGATCTCCCCCTCACTCAGTGCCAACAGAATTTCTAATTATTCTCTTTTCACCTCAGTGAGCTGCCCCAGTGCCTGAGGCAGCCCTGACAGCCCCTCCCAGAGCCCTCAGGGATATTTGCACTCTGCTGTACAGAAGGGAAAACGATTTTGTTCACAGATTCACCGATTTGGGGTCTGGTTTTGAGTCAAATCAACTCAGCTGCATCTCACCCCTCAGCCTGGACACTGAGATTGTCCCTCACTGGATTTTCACCTTTTGTGGAGCTCTTGGAGCAGCTCCTTCCTCCCCCAAAGCTCTGCCTCATTTTTGGAGCCATCCCACAAAATCCTGGTTCATTTTTCAGGCACGAGGAGCTCGCTCAGGAGCTCTCACCCATCCCTGCCCTGATTTACAGCTCCCTCCCCTCGGTGCTTTTCTGCACCAGCAGGGAGAACTGCAGCACTGGGAGGATTTACTGCCAGGAATCATCACCTCCCTCCCAGTCAAACCCAGATTTATGCACACAAGTTCTGATCCTGTTCCCTCACTCTGCCACTCCAAGCCACTGACTGCCAGAACTCATTTATTCCTCAGAATTTACTGTACCAGCATCTGGAATTCTCAGACCAGGGGAAAAAAAAAAAAAAAAAAAAAAAAACCAACTGTCCTGAAATTACCCAGCCCAAGTATAGCAACAAATTAAAATCTTGCTAGTGGTGAATCCCTCAAATTAGAGTAGGAAGATGTTCTGGAGAATACAAGTGCTGACTTTCAAAATCCAGTGACTGCTGTTCCCAACAAATACCCAAGCCTGGAATACTCCAGGAAAGGAACTGTTCCAGCCAGGAGTTTAACACCAAAACTCAAGTGCAAGTTTAAGATCCAGAGTTTTAAAAAGGCCAGTTTTGGTTTCAGGGATGCTGGTTTGTCCCAGGGGTTCCCAGACTGGCACCTGGCTGATGCCAGTGCTGGGCAAACAGAAACTGCAGAAATGCAGAGTTAAGTGTCCTGCAAGCTTAGACTGAATTAAGGATGACTCCAGGCTTTGTTAGGCACGGCTGGGAATTCCCTGAGCCAAACCCATCCCCAGCCAGGGCACAGGAGAGCAAAGGCAGCAGCCCCAGGGACGTTTGTCCTCCCTGGGATGTGCTCTGGGATCCCTCTGGCCCACCTGCACAATTCCTTGGCATTTCCATGGAATGGGAGGAATTCAGGCAAGGAAAGGGGGAGCTGGTGCTCAAATCTTGGCTGGGGGAAAGGAAGGAGCACCCTGAGCATCCCCTGGTGTCCAGAGCAATGGAATTCACACCCTGAGCATCCCCTGTGTCCACAGCAATGGAATTCACACCCTGAGCATCCCCTGGTGTCCACAGCAATGGAATTCACACCCTGAGCATCCCCTGGTGTTCAAATCCTGGCTGGGGCCATGGAAGGAACACCCTGAGCCCCCCTGCAGCCCAGCCCCTGAATTCCCACTCTGCAAATCCCTGGGGAATGCTGGTGCTCCAGAGGGGGGCTACACACAGGGAAAACCTTCTAAAACCAGGCCTTGTTAAACCAGGCCTTGTTAAACCAAGCTAACAGCCAGCCTGAGAAATTCCTGTGAGAAAGGAATTGTAGGAGTGAGAATCAGTTTGCAGAACTGTTCCTGTGAGAGGACCATTCACACCTGGGGAGAGGGAAATGCTCCCGGTGTGAGAGCAGGAGACAAGAATGGAAGCAGCTCCAGAAAGGGAAAAGCCTGATGGACACCAAGAGCAGCCAGGACCAAGCACTGAGCTGAGCTCAGTGAACGGCTCAGGTTTAACTCTGTGCCTGCTGATAACCACAGCCATATGAGCTGTGTGCAATTCTCAATTTTGTGTGAGTATTTGTGTGTGTGAGCCAAGGCTGGGCTGTTGTGCACAGGAACAGTGCCCTGCTCCATGCCCAGCGCCCAGGGACACTCACAGTTTTGTAGAGCTGAGCCCTCAGGCGGTAGGAGCTGTACTCCAGCTTCCTCTGCTCCTCCTCCCTCTTCCTCCTCACCTCGGGCAGCTGCTCGTAGATCCTGGAGGGAGGGGAAAGGCACAGACGGTGATTGGGAACTGCCCGATCCTAAAATCCACACCCTGTGCCCACCCACACCTTCCCTCAATGACAAATGGGTGTGGAGATTGCTGGTGTCCCACCGGGAAAACGGGGGTCCAGGGAATTCCTGCAGCCAGGAGGCCTCTCCTAGCCCGGGAATGCCTCCCTTAGAGACACAGAAATAGAATAGAAATAGAATAGAAATAGAATAGAA